TTTGAACATATACATACTTGTCTGACCTAGTCCTGTGGACCAAGAATCAGATCCCTGAACTTGCGAAACTTCTCACCTTGCAATGGCTTAGTCATAAAATCCGCAATCATATTGTCAGTTGGACAGTATTCGATCTTAACATTTCCTTTCTCAACTTGATCTGTGATAAAGAAATAACGAATATTGATAGCTCGGCTTCTTTTGCCCGCGCTCTTGCGACCATTCTCTTCCAGTAGAATCGCGCTTTTATTATCCTGATACAAGATATTTTTCTCGATCGGATACCCTTGCCACTCCATGAACAACTTTGTCCATAGTATCATCGTGACAACATCGTCAACAGCAATCAGTTCCGCTTCCGTACTGCTTCTGCTGTTTAGCTTTTGCTTCTTCGACATCACTTGAGCTGCACCTCCTCCAAAGGACAGAGTACCGCCAGTATGGCTCTTGAAATCTGGATGCACCGCAAATGATGCGTTGATCATCCATTTCATGACTTGTAGTGATTCTGCGGAAAGTGTCAGGTGATACAATGATGTACAAAACAAATATCGCATCATGCGAACACACTTCTTCCAATCAGACTCTGTAGGTTCTCGAACTCTTGAGGCAATAATAGTAATCGTTGGATGAATATCCAAACGAGCTCTCTTAGAGACATAAAGTCCCCTTGCAACAGTAGTATGAAAGATCTGACGGTACTCAGCACTGAGTAACTTTCCTTTCCCAGCTTCCAGTAAATTGTTACCAGCTGGTGTTTCCTGCTTTGAATCCTTGTTGAACTTGATAGGAAAATCTTCCAACATGTTCTTGACATAGTCGTCCATGCGGATCTTGAGTTTTCCTTTCACCCAGAAATCCAAAGTCATTCCAAGATATCTGTGCATCTTTCCTCTGATGATTTTACATGCCTGGATTGAACCATATCTCAGGTTCAACCATTCAGCAAATTTGTCATTTACCTTCGGATCCATGTGACTTGACATAAGATCGCCAACATGAAATCTGATAGTTTGCTGTTTTTCATTAACAACTTTGTTAGCAACACACAGGTCATACAGATTGAAAACAAATCGCTTTGCCTCCAAATAACTCCGAAATTGATTATAGAATAGGAGGCTCAATTGCAACATCCCATATATAGCACGCAGTACCCGCACATAGATTACTCGCTTTCCGTTCTCTAATGTGCAAATGATCTACAGAGTAAAGCGCATCGGAAAAGAAAGTCTGGTCCTATTGGTCGGCTTGCTCATGTCAAATTATGACATGGCTCGGTCTGCTTTTGTCACGTGGCCATGTGATTTTTTCGCAGCCATTCTTTTGGAACCTTTTCATATTTATTTTTGCCTCTGTGCTAATGTCACCTTCGCCATGCAAAAAAATCACCTACTATTTGTCATTTTGGGACAGGGTCTAGCCACCATCAACCATGCACTGAAAGTCTCAATACCACCTTCACCCTGTCATTTTTGCATTGCCAGCATCATCTATTGTCACATGCCCAAAGTGTTAATGTGATCACTGCAACAATTGAAATATTACTATGACAATATATTAATATCAACTAAATAATACTTGTTCTATCTATTTTTCAGGAATCTATTTGCCATCACCCTCATATATTGTTACAATTTGTTGCCTTGCCTTCTTGTGTTTTTGTCCAGAGCGTTTGTGGTTCAGTTAGTGGTGTCACTGCTGGGCCATTCTTTGGCCAGTGCCTTCCATCTATCCACATAGTTCTCCACCATCAAAAGTACAAATGCTTCATCCGTGACATTGAAAGCATTGCTCAACACAAATTGACATCTTGCATCAACACAATATTGAATGACAAAAGAAGCAGGTGAGATCAAGGCTTTTGTCACACAACAGTAGCGCCAAAACATGAATACTTACCCTCTTTGTGTTCACGGTCCTCATCACAGCTCACACTTGAATTATTGTCATACACCTTTTCTTGTCTCCAAGACTCCCCTTCATATGTTGGCAAATAAACAAAGCATACTCAACCCAAATTGGCATCTTTCATCACCATAATATTCAGTGACAAAAGAAGCAGGTGAGATCAAGGATTTTGTCACACAACAGTAGCACAAAACATGAATACTCACCTCTCCTTGTGTTCAAGGTCCTCGTCACTGCTCACACTTGAATCACCGGCATATACCTTTTCCTGTCTCCGAGACTCCCCTTCATTTGTTGGCAAATAAACAAAGCACGCAGTTGTTTCTCCAATCTTCAACTATGACGTTCTGATACCAGTAGTACAAAAAACTCACGGGTTGTTTGGGTGGAGGCTTTGCTAGTGTTGCAGTGTTTGAAGTTGCCGTCTTCTTGGTCTCATTGCCCTTCGCCTTGCTTGGTGCCTTCTTGCTCCTTGTCTTGTTTTCAAATACTCAAGTTTTTTTATTATGTGTGCGCTGTGAAATCTTGGCCCTGGCAAGGCTGGATTCAGTGGAAATGTACTTGGCACTAGTAGTAACTACATGTAGCATTGGGTTGGAGGAGGGTGGAGGAAGGCGTGATTCTACGTATTTTCTGTAGAAATGTACCATAGGGTGGGCTTGAATCCATCCAGGCGCGATTTTTGCCCTGCTATTACGAACAACCTTACTTAACATATTGCTTACTTAACATAATGACTCAAAACTATTATAGACTTGTCCAATCTACGTTATTTCTACTGAGTAGGATCCTGGTAGATTTGCAGGGAGCTACACTAACAAACTTGTAAGTCTTAATGGGATCCTGATTGAGAGACATGTCTCAACGAACGAATCCCAATTTTGTGGCTTAAATGCACAATGTCTGCCATATGTAATATCACGATTACCACAACCAGCAAAGAAAAATTGGCAAAGGCGCCACCTGCAGGAAAAAGGATGTATGAAAATGCAAAATCTCCTGTTTTTGTTGATGTCATGCAATCATCAAATGGCATCATAGTACCGTGAGAATTTGCTCTTTGATGAGCTTACCTCATTTTGCCAATTGTACTCTATTCAGTTGCATTTGCTGTCAAATTCTTCACCAGTGATGTCATCTGCTTGCAGTTTTGTTGTTTGTGGTTATGTCCGGGGCTCATCGGAGAAACGTTTTGCTGATCACTTCTGACCGTGTAGAATTCTACGTGCAGGATCGTGGTACATTTGGACAGAGCGTCTAGGCTTCAGGTGCAAATATATGGCAGACCCTAAAATCCCAATCCGGAGAAACTTTAATCGGTATAAGTTTACGGTACCGATTCCAGAAAGTTTTACAGCGAGCCGCTTTTCTACGAGGTGCGCCGTAATAAACGTACACAAAAAACGTACATCCCCACGGGCGCATGGTACTTTCGGATCTTGGATGATTTACTCCCGGCAAGGGTTTTCTTGGGGGTACAATTTGTAACAGTTGAGAACTGTTTTTGTTTTGTAACTATTATGGACTGTCTGTCCGTCTGTACCGATAATTTGTGTGACCAAAAAACAACAACGCGGCCATGATGTTTTTTGCAGTAACAACAGTGTGTTTGTAGCACCAATTGGCGACAGCAATTTGCGAGTGCTACACAGCCGCAGTATTCGAATCAGCGCTTGTTTGTGCTTGTTTTTTGATTGGAAGATTGTGATATCTAGGTGGGCTTGGAATCTTTTGTCTTTTTGAGGAGTGTTTTGGGTTGTTTTTCAGTTTTTGTTGATTGTCACCTGAGCGTTCTCCTCCACTGGTTGCTAAGGAACTCCACATCTAGGCTGTGATTCGCTGGCAAACGGATATTGCTTTCTTACATATTGAAGCGAGTCTGCCCATTGGCGGTTAGACTCCTCATTGTATTCTGCAAGTTGTCTGTATTGCTGTGGATGCATAGAGAGATGGTGAAGAAGGGCCAAGTGGATGGTGTAGGGGGACGTGCCAGAGATGATTCTGTAACAGAGGAAGAACGCAGGACATGGACAAAAAGTAAAAGGAAGCGGATGAAGCAAAAGAAAAAGAAAGATGAGAACATTGCTGCGAGGAAGGCAAGAGAAGAAGCTGCTGATGCTACTTCTATGATTGCAAGGAGTACGCAAAAGACGATTGCTAAGGTTGGTGCTTCTATCGGCACCAAAGCCGATGCTGTGCTAGTTCCTCTACCAAAAACAGCTCCAAACGTTGCAAACATTGAAAACAGAAAACAATCAGATAGCCACGATGGCAACAATAAGAAGGCAAGGAAGTTTGATACAAGGGGCGCTGCTCAAGGAGCCAGTGCTGGTCCCGCTGCTGCTGCTGCTGCCACTGTTACTATTACTGCTACTGCAAAAAGGAGAAAGCGAAAGAAGGCTGCAATTGCTACTAGTGCTGCTGGAAGGAGACTGAAGAAAACTACTACAAAGGTTGTTGCAGCTGCAAGTAACAAAGCAAATTTTGTAGTTGAAAAAAGGAGCAGTCAGATAGGCAGCATGATGGCGACAAGAGAGCCCCAGAGAAGGCAAAGAAGGTTGCTGCGGGTGCTGGAGGAGCTGCTGTTGATGCCATGCAAAAGGCAGCAATGATTGTTCCTGCTTCAAGAGCTGTGGGTGCTGCAATTTCCGGGGAAAAGCAAAGTGCTACGAAGAAAAAGGTGCAGCTCAAAATAGGTCGTGGGGGAAAATTGCAAGGAGATAACAATGCAACAAAAGAAGCAAACCGCAGAGTAGTGGATATTGGTAGAGCACAAGTAGAGCAACATGCTGGTGTACCAATCATGCGGTACAATCTACGACATCCAATCGGACCAAGGCCTCCATCTTTGAAAGAGCAAAAGAAGATGAGAGATGAAAAAAAGAAATTGTTGAAAACAATGAGAGATGAATTGGGTGTCTTGCTTCCTGATATTGACAGCGAAATTGTAGTTGCTCAAGAGAGGGTTCATTGGGACCGTTCAATGAAGGATGGCGATGGTGCGAGGGTCACAGAAAAAATTCTTGAAGCTGCAGCTTTCAATGAAGATTTTGATGAGGAAAAAGATGATGATGGGGTTTTGGAAGAACGGAAAAAGCAGCTCTTTAAGGCAAAACAGGAGATGCAAAAACTCCTCAATGAATACTATGGTCATGCTTACATCTCTCCTTCACTTCGGACTTTCTTTGAAAAGTATGAAATTGATATGTTGGATGTAGACGATCCATTGTATTGTCCTGATGAGATTCGAGGGCTTTGTTATGAAACAGAGCAAGAGGACAAGGAGGATCCAAAGTTTACTGTTTATTGTGGTCCGCAAGAGAAGGAGACAATCATCAAGGGCTGCAGGATGGAACAGCTGAAGCCATATCTAAGCGAAGGATATTTGTACAGTTGTCAGCTGCGAGGAGAGTTAGCAAAGGCAAAAGGACCGTATCAGGAACGATACCTTATCCCTATAGGAGATTCAAATTTGGACAAGGCGCCTGACGACTGCCTCTGCAAGTTTGGTAGCAACGGCAGGTCTCTGAGTCCACTTCCATTTCAACAAAACGACAAAGCCTTCTGTCTTGGATACTGTTTGGCAAATGTACTCTTTTACCTCAAGCTTGATAAGTCAGCGCAGAAGCTAGCAGACAATGCAAACAGACTAAGCATTTTAGATGCCAGGAGACAACTTGCAGAAGTTTCAAACATAGTGCAGCTGTCAGCAAAGGGAATTGGAACCATATCTTTGGAAGAGGTCAAGCGTATGTTGGATGGAATTCCGAAACAGAAAACAATTGAGATGTTGATGCAATATGACCTAGTTCTTTTTATTCCGAAGAGCGGTGATGGTACAAATTGACATGCTGTTACTTATTGCAATGGCTTAATCTTTGACTCAACTCAAGAGTATCCCATGCATTTGACTGAACGCACTTTAGAGTTCTTAACGGGATCTGTTTCCTTTGTGGGTATTTGGCTTGCAAGAGCTTTTACTATTTTGAACAAAATCAAAAGGAAAATGGGATGGCAGTGAATCATTGTTTGTATGTTTTGTCCAAATTACAATTGGACAGTATTTGCCTTTACAGTTTTTGGAACAGCTCATTTGATTAATCAAAGTGATCCAAGGCCTTAGTATGGTCCCAAGGATCGTCTTTCCAATTTGAACGATCTTTCCTGAATCCGCTGAAAAATGCTTTGATGCTCTTAGCCCGCCTTAACCCAGTGAGGTAGTTGAGTGTGCTTCATTGTAGCACAGGATTGGGTCGTGTATGTAAAAGCAATTGCAGATGTTCTGATTTCTTTACCCTACTATTTCCAACATATAAACATGCATAGGTGAAGTTGGAGAGTTTGTGCTGACGCTCGGAGATGGCAAGTATCACGCGGTCTAGCGTCTGACCCTGCGCTTTCTCGACTGTGAGCGCAAAGCCTGCTGTAAGTGGAAATTTTTGCTTGACAGTAACCCTTGATGGGTGCAGTAGAATGTTAGGAGATTGAATGAACATTTGACGTTCTCTTACGTTTGGACAACCTTGGCATATAGGTACTGTGACAAATGCCATTTTTGGTTCAAAATTGTTTTCATCATGTATCATGCAGAAGTCCGAGTTTCTTGCAATGATGATGTTGTCTGATATTTTAATATTGATTCCAATTGGAGGTTGCTCGAGCGTGACCACAAGTTGCTCGTTAAGTATCTGCATCTTGTAGGAATCCATTTGTTCTGGGCTGAGAACAAGAGAATGATATTGTGCTCTTGTTCCATTGCACAATTTTCGTTCCTTTGATATGGTATCAATCAAGTAACATGGTCCTCCACTTACAAATATTTCCCAAAATGCTGCGTCTTTATCAATCGTATCTTCGATGTCTGATGGATTTGGTGGTTTCCCTTCCCATTTGCTGTAGTCTAGATTCCAGCGTACAAGGACAGCATTTGTTGCCTTGGCAAATTGTAGGCCTCATGAATAGTTGATCGTGCATCGTTCTCTATTGGTCTTCACTATAACCGGAGCTTTCAACCACATGAGCCTCTCTTCTGCTGTATCTGCCAACAAATTTTTGTTGTTGTAGAATTCATAGATGTGAAACCTGTCAAGGTGGATCTGCATGCCATCATAAAGTTTGTCAATGTTTTCATTATGCTTTGTGTCTTTACTGCGCTCAGCCACAGTAAGCTCACAGTATGCTGCTACCCAAGCTACTATCTGAGGCAGTGTTATGAGCATTGGCATTCAACAACGACGTTGAGGTCATGTACTGTCTTTGTTTGGTAGTGTTAGAGCCTGTATGATATTGTTTTGTCCCATGTTGTTGGAAAGTTGCTTGTTCGTTTTGAACCTTTTTCATGAGAGTGGTTGTGGCTAGAATACCACCAACTGGTTCTTTCTGGTTGAAATCGCCTACTAGAAGCACTGGAATTCCCCCAAAATATTCATGAGGTCTTCCTTGGCTCTCACTGAAAAGTCTTGACAGCTCGCCCAATTTTGAAGCTGTTACATTTGATATTTCATCAATTATTATCAGCTGCAGATCTATCACATGCTGTTTCTGCAATTCTAGAATTGCTGCTTGGCTGATTTTGCGTTGCACTGTTCTTGCTTCTTCGTCTTTTCGCTGAGGTCTTTGTTTCAGTACACTTGCAATAGTAGAACCATCAATATCGGCTGCATTTAGATTGTTGGAAGCCAAAGTCAAAACACACTTTGTTTCCTTTGCGTTGTTATGCTCAAGCAATGCATGAATCACAAAACTTTTTCCAGTGCCTCCTTTGCCAGTTAAGAGCACGACTGGAGGAGGTAGAGGTATAACTGGCTTTCTCTGCAGACCCGATCTCCGCATACACAACGGGTGGCCCGAAAACTCCCACTGCTTGTGGGGATAAAAACACCTACATCCATTGCGCAGACCAACGACAATCGGAAATCAAACATCTCTGTTCCAAACTGTAAATAGAAGCAACAACAACCATGCAACGACAACAGATTTCACGTGGTTTTTTATATTAACTGAGACCTTTCTTCTCCGCGCATGCCACCTGCATTTCCGACAAAAGAATTTCCACGCTTCTAATACAGCACAGTACTGTACTGTCGTACGGTATCTGCTGCCCCTACTACTATTCGAAATACCGTTCACGTGTACTGTACCAGGTACCACCCACACACGGTACAGGTACGATACCCCCAAACAAACAAGCTCCATACCGATTTCCCCTCCCCTGGAGAGCTGGTTTGATAGGAAGTCCAGATGTATGGCAAATCCCAAATCTCAATCCACACAGCCGAAATAAATACAGAACAACACAAACATGACAATCAACTACAGTTTGCGCAACAATGGACTGGCGCAACAATGGACTGGCGCAACAACCAACTGTTCCTATCGCACCAACTAGCAATATGGAAGCCAAACAAAAACAAATAGTGCATAACAAAATTTTTCTACTGCGATGACGATTGTAACAAAAACTATGTGTTGGTCTAAGGATGACTTTGTTCATCAGAAGTTCATAGACACCGTCTAGGGCGCACATGCATCATCAACTTTGCGTATGAAGACGAACCTAGATGCAGGAAGACGGTCCTTGATGGCGTTGTCGGGTGCCGAATTCGAACTCAAGCCCTATCACCAGAATCTGTTGCTCTTGGGAAACTGGCGTTGGTGGACCCAGAAAGCCGCAACAAAAAAACAACAATACACCAATCTCTTCTCTGCATATATTTTGAGCAAGTGCGTCGTTAGCGGAAGAAGAATTCGATCTTTGGCATGTTGACCAATATGATGAGTTGGTTTGGTAATATTAGGAGTTTGCTCCGTTTTGGCGGGTCCTCCTGGCACCATGGAGACAGAAGCCAAGCAACAATCTGCCAGTTCCTTTTACTTCCTGTAATGGACAAAGAACCTATTGATAGATTCGGCCTATCTAGATCAAGGTACCGAAGCAAATGGGTAGTTTGAATAAGATGTAAGTTTGTTGCCCCAAAGCATGATCTGGGGAGATCTGGCCAAATTGTTGACCAAATTGCTTTGAATTGCTTTATTCAAACTAATATTTGTTGTTCATTGATGTACCTGGCAAGGTTGATATGTTGGTATAGGTATCTTGAGGTAATACTGTTTCGGCCGCACACACTTGGCAAACATTCCGGATGTAGCCAAGAATCTCTTCGAGTCCACCTCAAGTGATTTCTTTTCTTGGAGCATTTCCACCTAGAATTCTCCTGTTCCAGCCAAACCGGCATTCTTAGACACCAATATTGGTGACAAATATAATATAGACTAAAGAAATTGAATGAAGTTGTAACAATAGGTGGGCTATTTCAGAATTTTCATCAAACTTGAAGCTTTTCAGAGCTGCCACCTAATTTCTGAATCTAGATCTAGATCTAAAAAGAATTTATGGGCAACTCGTGTACAGCTTCATCCATCAGGATCCAAAGAAGTGGTTGGTGTGTTGTTAAGTGGGTGTTTGCTGTCATGGCGGCCACTAGAGCTGATTGAAGAAAGCTAGGAAATCTATGGCAACCACAATGAAAATCCAACCTTTGCATCAAAGGCAAATTAGGCGATCCTCCAGCCTGACAGGAGCTCGATCTTCTTTGCATGCAGGACCCTAAGGGGACCTGAAAGCTCGGAGGGGAAAAAAACGGGAATGGTTTGACCAACAGAGGTTGATTGTGGCATGATTGAGTCGAGGCCTCATTCAGACTTTGATCACAACTCTGGCAGCATTTTGATAAAATAGACAACAAGGCTTGCTGCACAAACTATTCAACATTCTGCTCTTGTGGGGTCCATACCATGAAACGCTTATGTTGTGACAATAGTGCAACTTGATGGGCTTGGTAAAAAGTTGTTGGGTGGGACGAACTTTGATAGCAGGTACCGACAGGCAAATTGTTGCTTAGTTTTTACTTGCTGGTGAATTGTTGCTAGCAGTTAGGTAGATGGGGATGTTTGTTGATTGAACTCTGCTTTGGACAACGGTGAATCCTTTGAAAAGTTTGCTTGACCGGGTGATAGATGGATAAAATAAGTGTTCGTTGGAAGACTGTTTGATGGCTTTAGAGTCATGTCTGAGATAATTGGGGAATAGTCAAGCTCAAGAGACACGCTGTCGTTATCTTCCATGGATACATCACTGAGTACCTCTTCCTCTCCTCCCTCTGGGAAATCATTGTGGTCACCCGGCTGAGAATCCAAAAACAGTCGCAAGAGAGGTGGGAATGTCTATATCTGGCCAATCTACCAAGCCCTGAGCCTGGTAAATATTCTGTTGATAAGAAGGGTTCTCTGAAAGTAGGACATGGTTAAGCTGAATGTCAGAGGTTGCAAGTGACAAACAAAGTGACAAATCACAGAATGCTTCATAATCACATGGGCTCTCTGAAAATATTGCCTTCATCAATTCTAGGGGAGGCGACCCAAGCCCCAAAAAGACACGCCCTGCTGATTTTGGGGCATGGTCCTTTCAATATCAACTGACTTTCTTTTCCGATGTCACCGGTTTGTTGCAAAACATTTGTTTTTGACCAAACGCGCGCGTCTGGATATGCATCCGATGGTGGCAATTTTGGCATCAGAGTTCAAAACCCAAATCAGAGTGACTGGCATAAACTCGTGAGACTTATGAGATACATGCACTCTACCAAGAAATGGCATCTCACACTGAGCGCTGACAACCTTCGTGTAATGAAGTGGTATGTTGATGCGTCTTTTGCGGTTCACCCTGACTTCAAGAGTCACACAGGAGGAGTGATGACCATGGGTGGTGGAGGCATGCAGGCTATGTCCAAGAAACAGAAGTTAAACAGCCGCAGCACTACACATGCGGAACTAATCGGAGTAGATGATGCGATCACACAAGTGTTGTGGACACGCATGTTCATGGAAGAACAGGGTTATCCGATTGAGAAGAATATCTTGTATCAAGACAACATGAGCTCTATTCTCCTAAAAAAGAACGGGAGATCGAGTGCAGGAAAGAGAAGCCGCGCTTTGAACATCCGTTATTTCTTTGTCACTGATCAGGTTGAGAAAGGAAATCTTACGATCGAACACATGCCGACCGATGACATGTGGGGGGATTATATGACGAAACCTTTGCAAGGGGAAAAGTTCCGCAAATTTTGGGCATTGATCCAAGGGGATCAGGAAGATTAGATATAACCTTCTTGGGTTATATATACACGTTACATATTAAAAGAAAAAGGATTTGTTATCGCAACTGGACTCGTCGATACGGCAGGAGTGTGTTGGTGAAATGGGATCTTGATAGGTAAAAGAACAGTCGAACATGTCGGACAGTGAAGTCGGACATTGGTGATATCGAACACGGACAGAAGTACGGTTCGAGTACGTACAGAGATGGA